ATGTGATTTGGGCCCCTGGCAGACTTGCAGGGATCCATAACATGGATGGGTTATGTGCAAATTTAATTATTCTTTTGTAGATTGGACCCCCAGAGGATTCCTTCTGGGAAAAGATTGAGATTGGCGCAAGATTTTCTTTTGATGCCTTTCCCAACTGTACCATGACCTCAGAGGTCTTGTCCAATGTTACATGGTCAGGTGGAGGCCTGAATCCTTCAAACCACAGACTCATTATCAGTGACAAAACAACATACTTTATGAAAATTAGCTCTACCTTTTCATGGTGGATGTCTGCAGACTGGATATCTCCAGCCAATAAATGGAGGAAAAGTAAAAGTATTGTTATGAGGTCATAGGTATATAAAAGTAAACGTATGTGTTTATGATCCTCATATACTGTTAATAGGGAAGATAGAGTGGCAACAAAATATGTACTCATGTACTAATTGTTATCTAATCCATTGCGCCATGCTAAATATCTTTCGAATGACTTCACCAAGCTGATCATGGGCAGGATGCCCGGGGTTTGGCTTCTGGTCATTCTGATGGAGGCTTAGTATCATTCACCTACTTCCCTCTTGGTAGAGACCTTAATTAAGAGATTTAGCAGTCAGACCAAGAGGGTGATTGAATTAATTATAGTGGGGATAATCTCCCTAGTCCTTTTGATAGCTAGCACAGCTATTGGCACTATGGTGTTAGCTCATTCAGTATGGACTACTCACTTTGTAGACAATTGGACAAGAAGTACTGATGAGAATGGAAAATTCAGCAAGAAATATAAAATTGCAAACACAAGTAAGCATCTTAAAGACCTCTGTCTTTTGGATGGGAGGTCAAATTAAAAGTTTGCATTTGCAACAAGGATTAAAATGTCACTATAGTATGACTTGCTTTTGTATCACCACTTTATCATATAATAAAAGCCTACATTCTTGGGGAATGATCAAAAAAACATATACAAGGAACAATCCATCCAAATATTACTATGGATAGAGATGCTTTTCAGAGAAAAGTGCTATCCATGTCACAACAGACAGCCACATTTGATGCCCACATTGAAGACTGGGATAAGTTTGCTGTTGCTACAGAACATTGGAATCCATTTGCACATCTCAAGGCTCACTTTTGGTTTGATATTGGAATTAGTGTGCTCATTCTCTTGTTTATAATTCTTCTCATTAAGTGTGTCATAGAGGATTCACAACCTGGCGATGAGTAGAGGCCATACAGCCATGACTGACTCTGCTCCAGCTTCTTCAAAACAAAGAAGGGGGAACTATGGAAGACCACCTGATTGACTCTCCTTGAAAGAAGGACAGTTATCTCTATTTTGGCTAAACCTGGCCCTATTTCCATGTATTGATATGTACAGAGCTGGCTAGGACTTTTCCTTATCCCCTCAATTGGCTTTAAGCAATGTGTAGTCTTTGGAGCAAGGTAACAGGTCAGTGTTGCTACACCCTGTAGCTCCCAAAAAGCATGTGTGAGCAGAGTGGGAGGGAGGCTGGGATTGAGTCTCGCGATAAGAGGCTATGACTTCCCAGGGCATAAAAAATTACACATCAGAACTGAAGCACCAACCTCAAAACATCAGATACTACCTTGAATTGTGTTAGGCACATTACTCTTTCTCCATATCCTTCTCTCTACATATTGCAGAGATGATTTCAGACCACTTAGCTAGCCCAGCTCATGGCACTTATGTACTTCCCACCACTCTCAAAGCCACTCCCCTCACTGTGAATTAATAAAACCTGGGTTTGCCCTTGTGTCAAGGCCTTTGTTGCCGTTAGCCATCATCCTAGCTGGACTGAGGAATCCTTGGGCTCCCCACCATCTTGGATATATAACTGTGTCTTTATTTACACCATGTGTTGCACTGGAAGTCGTAGATTGGAATTAACTCACTAGAATTTCAATAACTTTCCCTTGGGATTAAAAATGTAAACTCCCTCGACCATGATTAAGACCAGGAAGGGCTTTCTATACTTTAAAGCTGAATTTCATAACAGATGACAGATGTCTGCTTTTAGTAGTGGTAAACTAGGAAATTCAGACCAATTTAAGTGTTGAGGACAATTAGAAAAGCTAGGCTAAGTAGTTTGTAAAATTTTTCCTGAAGGCATTAGAGAGCTAATAAGGCTGAAAATAATGAATAGGTTAAAATTTGGGAGAAGATAGAAGCCCAGAGCAATGGAAACCCACTGTATTTAGGAGCACTCTTACCGATTCCAGATGACACTGGTGAGGAGGTAGAGAAGTTAAGCATGATTTTGACAGCTTCATGGGGCCCTGGGAAGCAGGAATTAAGCAGTGGTAATGAGTCTATGGCACACATGCTGCCACAAGCTGTTTGTTATCGTTGAAAGCTCTAAAATGTTCACCATTCCTGGGACTCTAGGACTTCTCAAAGTGAGAAAGCCTGGTGAATCTTCTGTGACTCTGGGTGATGCCCCTAAATATCTCTACCTAGAATAGAGATGATCCACAAGTAAAATAACTTTCAAAGGAATGAAACCCAGTCTCAAATCTTGTTATCACTAAGTTTGGAATAAGGGAGTCCCATGTTGCTAATGTCCCTAGCTATCATCCAGAAGCAAAGATAAATCCTTTCTGAAGGAATGGTAGGATACCCGTAATCTTTTATTTTTAAATATTTTTCATTCCAATTTTAGGCATGCAGTCAAAGTATTTCAAGTACACAAAGGGGAAAACAACCATAAATAAAGACCAAGAGAAACAACAGAGCTACAGAGCATCATAAATATGTTTGATATGTTCAAAGGCATAAAAGATAATGCTTAAATATTTGGTAGAGGAAATCAAATGAAATTTGTAGAACTGAAAAATTCAGTTGCTGAAATTAGCTCACTGAGTAGGCTTTAACAGAAGTTTTGACAGAGCTGAGTATAAAACCAATGAGCTGCAGAAGAGGTCATGGACAAATCAAGGAAACGATACTTTCAATGACAGAAAAGACAGAATAAAGGGGGATGTGGAGATTTTATGAAGAAGTCTAACATAATGAGTCCCAAAACTAGAGGAGAGAGATTAGAAGCAATATTTGAAGATATAGTAGACAAAAATTTTCAAAACTTGATGATAGGCATTGAGCCAAGGATTCAAAGAGCACTACAGATTCCAAGTAGGGCTAATAAAGAAAAACCAGGTATAGTATAAGGCTGTCCAAAACATCTTCAAAGAGTTGACTGAAAATCACTTAATAAAAATATCCTTTTAGAATGAAGATGAAATTAGCACATTTGCAGCCAAAAATGGATGAAATTGTCACCAGCAGACCTATACTGCAGCACATACTAAAGGGCATTCTTCACACAGAAGGAAAATGATTAAATGTAGAAAGGTAGAGATGCAGAAAGGAATGAAGAACAATGGAAGGTATAAGTATTCAAGAAATACAAATAAATATTGAGTGTGATAATGCTCTGTGGAATTTATAATAGTATAATATAGAAGTAAAATGCATGGTAATGACATCACATAAAAAGTCAGAATATGGGGAAGGGAATATATCAGTAAATTAGAATCCTAAGACATTGGAGGAAGGTGAGAATATAATGTAACATTATGCTTTTAGAAACCAAGAATATAAATTACATCTCTAGGGTAATGCTTACAAGAATAGTAAAGGAGTATACAGCACCTGACATATGTACTCACATCTGTGCACACATGCACACTTATAAAAAGGATAGAAAGGACCTGCCAAAATGTTAATTGTGGTTCTGTGTGGATGGAGGCATCTGGCCAATTTTTCCTTTCCTTTGCTTATCCATGTTTTCAAAAATTGCCATCTAACACGTGGAAAACGGGCCATGAAAAGAATTCTGCCTTCTAATTTGATGACTTTCTTTTTTCTTTAGCTCCTCTAAGCTGGAGATAAAAGATTAAAAGTAAAATTTGCCATAAATTTGACATCTGTTTTTGCTTAACAATGTAACCTAAATATCTTTCTGTCATTAAATATTATTCCATAATATTTTAGTGAATGTAGATTAGTCCATTGTATAGCTACTTTATAATTTATTTAACCATTTTCTTGTTATTGGAAATGTGGATTATTTCTAATTTTTAGAAGTAAATACTCCTCATAAACATTTCTGCATACATGATTTTTTCCTGAGACTGTATTCCTAGAGGTATGCCTGATGGGCCAAAGAGTCTACGAAATGTTAAGATTTTTGGTTCATATTACCTAATTGCCTTCCTCTAAGGCTGTATCTAGTGGTGCTGGGGATGGGACCCAGGGTTTCAAACATACTTGGCAAGGGCTCTGCCACTGAGCAACTCCCCAGCCCGCTAGTTGCTTTTTAGTTGACCAGGGTGAGAGTATGGGAGATGTGCAGTAATGATTTCAAGGTGTGCACACAGCTGTGTCTGTGACAGCTCAGAGCTTACCATGCGTGCTACTGTGGTCACATCTGGACAATCAGGCCCAGGAGTCCAAGATTTTATGTTAATGTTCAGAGGGACTGAAGGAATTCACAGAAAGGGCAACTTGATGGGTGTGGCCCTCCCTGGGGAAGCTTCATGAGGATGTGAGGCTTGAGGAAGGTGTTAAGGTGGCAACTGACTGGCTGACTGGCCCAGAGGTCAAGGAAACAGCTGATGTAAAGCAAATGCCCATGTGACCCAGTATATGCGGGACCCAAAGTGGCTGGATAGGAAAAGGTGCTGTTATGTAGAGCTGAACCAGACCGGGTTGGGGCTCCCTGGGGACAGGTCACCCATTCCCTGCTGGACTGGATGAAATAAGTACTGGCAACTAAGGTGGGCTCTGAAGCAAGGCAAAGAAAGGCTTAGTGAAAAGGACCAGACTGTGTCCTCATTTAGCTCCCACACTTGGCGATTTCTCAGAAATAAAAAGAAACTGATGCTTTGCTGCTTTTTTATAATATGTGTGTGTGTGTGGGGGCTACCAATTTGCTAGATAGTCTTGGAAGGATAATAAAAATAAAACTTTTCCTCTCTCTCAGCAGAATGGAATTAGACTCACCTTGTTACAGCTTGTGCTGCCACCAATTAAAGAGAGAGAAAAGAAGCTCTGCTGAAACCTCCTGCCTTCCAGCTGCACTTACTTAATCCAGGTAGTTAAAATCCCCAAAGGACCTTAAACTAAATCAACCACCAAATATTGAAAAATATAAACAAACTATTAATTAGAGGGATTGTAAAGCATGCCTTTCCTTTTGTGCAGGAAAGGAGGGGAGCAGAGAGGATGTGGGATGGGAACCCCTTCAGAGGTGAGGAAGAAAGAAGTCCAGGGCACACTGCTTTCTCTCCAGGGATTTCAAAGCAAAGATTTGTAAAGACTCCAGGAATACTGGGGACAGCTCTGGCATCTTGTTAAATCATATAGGGACCTCATTAGAAGTGAATGAAAGCCGCTAGTCTCCCTGGTGGGAGAAGCCCGAGCAGAGCTGTGCTTAAGGACAGTCCGCATGCAAGACCTACCCAGGAAGTAGTGGGATGTCCTGGGCCAGGGTGTCCATGCAGCCACCAGCTCCAGGAGTGGATGTAATCATTCTCCAGGTTCCATGTACACAGCTCCAGCCTGCCCAGAAGAAGCTGAGTCAGGTCATCTGAGGCCACAGCTGTACTCCAGCTGGGAAGAGCTGGGAAAAGGTGCTGTCCATGGCAGAGGTGGGCTGCATCTCCTCTTCCACTTGGGCAAAAGCACCTGCCCTGTCGGCACATTTTGATCCCATTTCCTCTACCTTGTATTGCTTGGACTGTGGGAACATGTCATTGTATTAAGATCGGGACTTTGGGGATCAAGAAGTGGATTTTGCATTTTCAACTTCTGTATTTATTTGTTTATTAAACCAGTAAGAGAATGCATAGATCTGCCTCATTCTTTGTGCCAGAATTTAAATCCCCTCTTGATGGACAGTTGTGTTGTTTGTTAACTTTTGAAATTGTAAACAAACTGCAGAGACTATCCTTATACATACTTCTTTGAGTACAACATAGTTATCTGCGAATTTAAAATGCTAGCATTATAAAACACAAAACTACAAAATTCCTAGAGGATAACATAACAGAAAACTTAGGTGATCTTGGGTATGGCAATAACTTTTTTAGCTATAAGACAAAAGGTACCATCCATCCAAGGAGAATTTTAATAGACTGCTTAAAAATTAAAAATTTCTGCTCTGCAAAAGGCATTGTCAAAAGAATGAGAGAAATGGGAGAAAATATATGCAAAAGGACATATCTGATAAAGGATTGTTCTCCAGAATGTATAGAGAACTCTTAAAACTGAACAGTAAAAAAATGAATGATCTGATTAGCAAATCCCCTCTTGATGGACAATTGTGTTGTTTCTTACCTTGTGAAATTATAAATAATGCAGAGAATATCCATGTACATATGTCTTTAGGTAAAACATACTTACCTACGAATTTTAAAGGCCTTAACAGATATTCACAAAGAAGATATACAGATGGCAAATAAGCACATAAAAAATGCCTAACATTATAGTCATCAGGGAAATGCAAATTAAAACAATGAGATACCAGTACACACCTATAAGAACGGCCAAAATTCAAGACACTGATACCACCAAAAAAGGGCAAACAGGTGGAACAATAGGAATGCCCATTCACTACTAGTAAGAACATAAAATGTTATGGCCACTTTGGAAGACAATTTGGCGGTTTTTTAGGCAACTAAACATTTTCTAATACATCCAGACAATGGAATATTATTCAGCACTAGAGAGAAATGAGCTATTAAGCCAACAAAAGATGTGGAAGAAACTAGAATGCATATTACTGAGTAAAAGAAATCAATCTGAAAAGGCTTCCTACTGCATGATTGCAAATATATTACGTTCTGGAAAAGAAAAATAATCTATGGAGGGAGTGAAAGGATCAGTGGTTAGCAGGGTTTGCATATGTGTGTATGGTGAGCAAGTGGCTTGGTGTTGAGAAGTAGAACACAGGACTTTTAGGACAGTGAAACAATGCTGTAGATGCTATAATGGTGGATACAAGTCTCTGTACATTTGTCCAAACCTATAACATGTACTACTCCAACAGTATTACCTAAGTTAAACTATGGGCTCTGATGATATGATATGATGTGTCAATGTAAATTCATCAAGTGTAACATGTGTACCAGTGTGATGAAAGATGTTGATAGTGAGCTATGCATGTGTGAGACAAAAGGTATGTGGGAAACTGCTGTACTTACTCTTCAGTTTTGCTGAGAATCTCCCATTCTAAAAAAAATGTAAAGTCTGTTTTAAAAAAATCCTAATAGAATTGCTGGGTCAAAGGACATTTGTGTTTTAAATTTTGACTAGTGAGAATCTGAAGAATATCATAGGTAGAGGTTAGAGCACAACTAAAATACATGTTATTAAAGTAACATGAACAACCCCAGACATCTTCAGGAAGCCCAGTGAGTCACAGCGGCACCTCCCTGAGCAGTGTGCAAGGCAGGTAAAACCTCAGGCACCCTCTGGGGCCTTGGTGGCTACCCGCCACACCCACAGTCTGTCTACTGGGACTGGGCGGAATGTCAGACACCTATAGGAACCCCAGTGAGCCACTCTGGTGCCTCCCCAACTAGGGTGTGAGGTACATGGATCCCTGGACAACTTCTGGGGCCTTGGTGGTCACTGTCAGAACAACTCACACTGCCCCTGGGAGCTCAGCTGAAACCTGTACAGAGTTAGTGGCCTCAGGGAGTTCACCCTCATCCCTCCCCTTCCAGTGTGGGAAGCAGGCTCTGTCCTGGGCGATATCTGAAGCTTTGATGAACATGACTTGCATCCCCCCTACTCTTGTGGAAGCTGGGCCAAACCCCAGACAGTCTCAGGAATGCCAGTGAACCTCCCCCACCCTTCCCACACACTTCTGGATGTGGGACCACACTTCTGGATGTGCCAACTGAATGCAAGAAAGGTCAGGAGCATCTGGGACCCCACCTTGCCACCACTCACCAGCACAGGAGTTACACTGAGAACTGGGGATCTTCAGACTCTCAGCCTGCCAATCACACACAATCGGGAGAGTGAGGCTGCACTGCAGGGAGTCTCTGGTTCTTCAAAAATGACAAAACAAAGGAGCAAAATGCAATCTCAGACCTCCACCCCACCCAAAACAAGTCCAGGAGACATCAACACAGAAGAGCCTGGAAGTCATACACCTGATATTTCTGAAATGATGACAACTGAAGTAAAGAAACAACTCCACTGGGCCATAGAAGACATCAGATCAGAAATAATGTCTCAGATGGAAAAAGAAATGACAACAATAATGAAAGAAATGTTCAGTATATCCAAAGATGACATTGACTAGAAAATAGAAGAGCATAGACAACACATGGAAACCTTCAGTGAACAACATAGAAAAGAACTAGAAGGTATGAAACAGATGCAAACAGATATCCAGGAAATTAAAAATTCCATTGAAAGCTTGCAAAACCGCCTGAACAAAGCTGAAGATAGACTTTCA